CTATGAGATACTCTACAAATAATAATGATAACAATTCGAATTTGTCATTCAGGAAATTACTAAGAATTCTATAAGTAATTCGCATAACTTTTATAAATTAACATATTTCGACCCTATCTCATAATATACAAAATTCATTAATTTTATTAAACTCAAAATGGTAAGTGCACATTCATTTATTCTAATCGTTAAATAGCTGTAAAAAAAACATGATTAAGCTCCCAGAAGATTTTTATCATTTTTGAACGGCCTTAATAAAGTTTTAAACCTTTTAAACCTTCATTGATTTTTTTTTATTATTCATTAAATTTTTTAGCTCAGATTGAATATTATAGTATGAGACGAATGTGTGGATATTTTTACCAATCTGAAGTTACGTAAGGAGTACAAATATATTTTGTACAAATTTTCCAATAATAAAACAAATTTTATTATTGACAAGGCAGTAAAAGTGACAGAATATGATAACAATAGTTGTAAAGAATTCTACAAAAGGTTTTATACTGAAATTACTAGTAATAAGGATCCTTATTTTGCTGTTTATGATTTTGATTATGAAAAGCCTGGTGAAGGTCGTCAAAATAAGATTATATTTATTTCTTGGTATGTTACAAAAAGAGGGTTATAACATTTGTATAATAAAGTAATGTACGAATTATTTTTGTAGGATTCCTGCAAATGCCAATATACAAGATAAAACTATCTCAGCTGTAAGTAAAGAGGTATTAAAAACTAAACTTGATATTTCATTTCAAATTGAAGGCACCGAAGCCAATGATATTGAGTTTGAAACAGTCCTTGATAAAGTTCTCAAGACTTAAATAATTAAAATAATTATATAATTATTTGTTAAGCTTTCATGTTGATATTAATAATTCTTTCGTGAGTTAACAAAATGATAATCTCCAACAACCAACTGGATTTACTATTATCTATTATATAACTATATAGGCCCGTGCGAACATAACAAATAAGCACGGATTGTTATATAACGATAAAACTGTACAAGCCTATAACAGAGAAGCTTAAAAAAAAGTATTATAAATTCGATAATCAAGAATTACCTATTCTTCATATTGTTAGTCCTATCACTATACGCTAGGTTGGTTAATGGACCAAAGTGTGGCTTAGCAAACAGCGCATTGCCAACCCTGACTATACGTGATTAGGGTTGGGGCACAGAAAATCCTCACATGGGGCACCCTAAAACATCACGTGAAAATAATTAATAAACATCACATGTAATTAGTAATTTACACGTGATGATTTATCATCACGTTCTCGTGCCCATGTGATGATTTGAAATCACGCCCAGTGCCCCAACCCTATACATGATGGCATTAACAAATAAATATGATGTGTTAAGTTGCTCAGGAGAGATTTCAAAAAAAAAAAACTGAATAGGATATTGATATTTTTTTATCACAAAATTATTAGCTTATAGTAAATTAAAAAAAAAAACATTTGCCCCATAAAATTCTGGATATTCCGCATTCTAATTTACAGAACTACTCTATAGATGAATATTACTATAATGATAATACAAGCTAATTTCTAGTTTTATCATAAAAAATTAAAAAGTTAATTCTGGCCTGAAATTAGTAAACAATTTGTAATGTGGGCCAGAAGTTTGAAGATCCTCAGCGTTAGCCAATCAAAATCGAGGATCTACCAGCTCCTTGTGACATGAGATTTAATGATCCTACAGTCATTCGTTTTAATTAGGGATCTTAATAGTTTTAAAGTTAATTTTTATTTATTTTAATTCTATATAATTTCACGATTAAAATAAAAAATTTTTTAAGCAAATTTAATTAAATAGTTATTGAGATATTTTAATACTTCAAGCAGGTTTCAGGCACCCTTTTTTAAAAAATTTTTATCAAATTTGATTAGATATTTGTTGAGTTTAGAAAAAAAAAAGTGGTACTAATATAGTAATAGATTAGGTAAAAATCACGGGACTGACAAATTTGATGACATAATATAATGACCAAAATCTTAAGCATTTAGTACAATATGAAAAATAATTGTCTTTTTTGAATTATATTTTTTAATGTCACGGATTACATTTGAATTTTAATTTTTATCAATAAATTTAATAAAAGTAATATCAATTTATTCTATATTTTTTGTTGTTAATGCTAATTAGCATTAATAATTTTTGATCATTAAATATAAGTAACAATAACAAAAAAATAAATACTACAATTAATTCAAAATTTTTCAATTAAGTTATTGTATGGTAAGAAGCCGGATATTTTTTATAAAATAGTTAATTATTTAATCAAACACCAATAACTTCAACTTCAACTACGTCATTTAAAGTATTTTCAATATATTAATATCCATAAGCGTGCGCATATGGGATGAACCAAAAAATATAATATCAGATTGTTTGGAACATCTAATTTTTTGGCCCATCCACTTTTGCTGTGGGCTCACTTATTGAGTAATGGTAGTCCAAATTTAGCCCCAAATTCAAAATAATACCCCAGCGCATTTTATTACATAAAATATATTAAATTCAATAAATTATTTAAAAAGAAAGTAACCCAATTTTAGAAATTCCTGATTATTACAGAAATGTTAAAGTGATTATGCTTATTGCAATAATGAAACTGGTAATGAAGGATATGCTTTTAAACTCTGTGAAGAAATTACAAATAAAAAAAATAGAAGATTTAAAGAATGAAGAGAATTTTAATAAATTAGAACAACTCCTTAGAGCGAAAGATAAGTTCAAAAATGATCTTGAAATTTGGAGACATATTTAAAATGAATATAAAAGCTTATCTGAGATTGCAGATAAAAAAATGACAAAATACAATAATAGTCGTAGAAAGGCTAGGCAAAAAATTAATAATTTTAAAAAATATAAATTGTATTAAATTATTTATTGGCTTAAAAAGCGTATTATTCGCATTTCTAATTAAAGATAGCAATTTTACTTTAAATATATAATCTTTATACACTGATAAAAAAGGTTTCGTTTTGAGATGTGTGCACTTATGACGGTGCATTTAGAGAGGCCTATAAAAAGTTATGTAATTAAATTTATTACGCATAAGATAAAATTATAATATTATTATCAAATTACTTTCAATAAAAAAAATTGAAAATTTTTTATTGGATCATATTTACATTCTTCTATTAAAACAATGCTACGTAGTAGTTAAAGGCTTGGAAGGGAGTTCATTTTGCTATAAAATTTTTTTTGATATCCTCGTGATTTTTCACTTTAAGTGAATTCGTAATACAACCTATTTGTCAGTAGGGTTGAAAAATTACCGTAATTTTTATAAGTTTGTTATTTAAATAATTTTGGCAAAAATTTATATAAGCTGGCATTAAAAATAAATATAATTATTTATTTTAATACGATAAGTCTATTTGTAACAACATGTTACATAACAACTTATAATTAAATTCTCTATAACACAAAATTTTACTAAGATAATCTCTTTTGTGCTACTAATGAAAAATAACCCTCTCGCAATTTTGTATTAATTTTGATATTAATTTTAAACCTAACCTAACACTAACCTAACCTAACCCTAACTCTAACCTAACTCAGGTTGTTATGTAACAGGTTGTTACAAATAGATTATTTCTTAAAATATAATTATATTCGTCTATAGTGCTTATTTAACTTGACTTTAAATCATCGTTATTCAGTATTAATATTTTCATTTTGAGACATTATCCTCATTACTAAATTGTCAGATATCATTTGCTAATAAAAAGGAATCTTGTCGCTGCACTTATTTATTCCAATTATCGTAGTTTTGATACCTATTTTCATGAAATATTATTTTTATTTAATTTGTTATTATCTAGTAAAATTGTAAAGCTCATTAATAAATTATATTAAATTATATCATATTACGACTAATAACTTCGCTTGCACCAAAATTGCTTTTAGTTTTACCCAAGTAGTTGCGCTAGTAAGACCAAGTGTTGAAGCTTTTTTAATTAATTCTCGCCCTTATGCAATATCTTGTTTACAACCGAAGCCACCAAGTAAGCGCATTCCAATTTTATTTATTACTTTACTTTTAGTAAAATTATTGCCTTCATTCTGAATTGATTGAAGAAACTCGAAGGCTGTTTTATAATCACCCGATGCGTATGCAACCCTAAATATTTCGTTTAGTTGATTATTGTATTCATTTTCAGCTTCATCAAAGATTTTTTTAGCTTTATTAATTCTTATAAAAAGTTTTTGTAATGGCTTTGTTTTTTCTCCCTTGTTATCTTTTCGAATTTGGTCAATTAATTTTAAGAATTTTTCATAATTTATTAGACCCTTATCTGATGATATTGCTTTTTTTAAAGATTTGTCTGCTAATTTTAAAAGTTATTTATATTTAACTTGAGGTGAGATCGGATATTCGTGGTCTAATTTATATTATATTAACTTTATAAAGAATCCATATTGTAAATTAATTTTAATGGTTTATTATTTGATTTAATAGTATTAAGCAGTTTGGCTTATTTAATTTGATTTTAATGAAAAAGTTCAAAGAAATGAAGTCTTTTAACATTTGTGCCATATTTTTATTGTATAAGAAAAAATTAATTGTTGATTTCTAATTTGCGGAATTAAAAAAAAAACAATGAACATTTGGGGTTGAGTTAATAGAAACCAAGCAAAATTTTTTTAATAAGATTTTAAAAACTTTAAGCAAAGATAACTTAACAAAAACTTAATTTTTTTTTTTTTAAATTAATTCTATAAGGTTGTAAAATTATTTAATTAAATTTGGTTAAGGTTATTCTAGTTTAAAGCTAAAAAAAAATTTTATTATAAAAAATCTGCTTGATTTCTATTAACTCACCCCATTTAATAATTTAAAATTTCAATTATATGATGTAATAAATAAAATCTTCTCTGACAAAGGTTGTTAAATTTATACTAATAGTCAAGCGATTAACTTTTTCTCGCGTAGCGTTTCTAAATTTTTACACTTTTCAGTCCATCAATGATTATAATTTTGAAATGATGCTTGTTTTTTAATTGAAATTTATCAATTAATTTTAATAAACTGAAACTCAATTTCAATTTTATAAATATCGATGGTATTGTATATTAATAGAAATACCGAATCAAGATTACTGAATTATGCGGCTCCTAGTGACAATACTGTACAAAAAAAACACCAATTTTCATTTTCATTTGAGGTAATTCCGCTATTCATTAAATGTTTTTAGATATGTACAATCTATATTAAATATTACTGTATTACAAAAATAGATCAAAACTTAATAAAAAAAATACTTGTTTTCAACATCTCAGAAAATTTTCTGTGTAATTAATCTGATAATCTATTACACCGTTTCTAGTAGCCTGTTGCAACCATCTATTAAATTGCTTAGCATATTCTAAGTTTGGGATAGTTTTTCCTTTTGTAATCCCTTGTATATTTAAATACAAGAAACTCAAATAATATCCAGCTTCTAAATATGTTTCCAAATCGTCTAGTTTTAGGAGAATTAGAAATATTTCATCATCTTTTTTTTTTTTGTTTTACTATATTTTTAAATGCAAATCTTAAAATAGAGTTCTGCTGGGCAGGTAGGGTTGGGGCACGGAAAATCATCACATGGGCATGGCATAACACCCTAGATCATCACATGAGAATAATAAAACATCACATATAATTAGTGATTTCTATGTGATGATTAACATCACACCCTCGTGCCTATGCAATGATTTGAAATCACACCCCCGTGCCCCCAACCCTATGGGCAGGGCTACTAACGTTAACAAGTTCAGGGGAAGCAGAGACACGCATAAAATACTCATTATCTTCTATTTTTTATTTTTTGTTAAATCTTTAATTGTATATGGATATAATTTCATTAATAGTCCCAAAACACTAATTACTATATATATATATATTTTTATGCTAATAAAAAGATAATTACTAATAAAAAGTAATCATTTTCAGTTTCTAAGTACATAGAATTTGGAGGTAAAATTCAAAATAGAGTTGAATTACACAACAAAATATTTACTGGCTTCAAGGAAAATAAATTTGGCACAAGCATTCAAAACTTCTCATCATCGTATGACATTAAAAAAAGTACTTCGTGTTTAACAGATTATGCTAGTGATAGTTATATAATAGTTGGTGGTGATGAGGAAATTGCACCAAATATCGATAATGATAGTAAAAGCCAAAAAAGTGGTTAAAAACATTATGTCATTGTGACAAATGGCAACCTATTAATTACTCAGAGATCATAACAGTCTATGAATTATTGGATAATAAACTACAAGCGCAATTGCTTGAATTGCTTGAGCATGTGGTGCTTCATTCTGGTACAAATGAAGTAGAATTTGATAACAAAAACATTATAAAGTCCAAAAAATTACAGTTAGATATTCCAGAAAATATCCTAGATAACATGGAAACTAACCATATATATGCAACTGTTTATAATACTAAATATATTCATGAAATTTTTTTTGTTCATGTAGTATACTACCCTAACAAAAGCTCCAGTTTAATATTAAATTGTGTCAAAACAAAGGAAGAAAAAGAATTATTGTCGAAAAAAGATTTTAAACATATCATAAAAGTTTCTTGGATCATTGTTGGATCTCGCATTAATTTCAAGTTTAAATCTTCGTTAACATTTGTGCTAAATAGTTACACTTTAAAAGATCCACTGCAAAGGTTTTATGACAATTCTGAACTCAACTATATCAAAAAGAAGATAGAACGAGATCTTTCTAAAGAAATTAAGCACCTCAATTTTAGTATGTGCTGTCTTGGAATTTGTGCATTTAGATGTCAAGACACAGACGATATTGAATCTGCAATTATTGCCGGACTTCACTTTTGTCATGTTGATGGACAGAAATGTGAACCATGTACTTATATATTTGATATAGTAAGTGTGTCTTTATTTTATTTGTCAAAGAATATTTTTATTTAAACTTGAAGATAATAAAATATTTATTATTCAAGGATGAGGGAAAACAGATACATTATCTAAAAAAATAATTAGAAGTTCACTTGAGTATTATCAATGCTAAACAAGAATGTAATGAAGTGAAATGGACAAAATGTGATGATCATTCAACATATAAAGGTGAAGAATGAGATAAATGTTCTACGGAAGAAAACCTATTTTTAAGCCCTTTATATAAAAAATATCATTTAGACTGTTCTCCTGTGTTCGTAAATATTAACACCAAATATCCTATGATGCGTTTATTCAAAAAATCAAATGTAGATAATAATTCAAAAAAAAATTTTTTGAATACTATGAAAAGCAAATTTAACAGAAAACCAGAAATAGAAAGTTATTTATCTTATATCAAAATGTAGTTTCTTGATTAATAATGAAGATTAGTTCAATAAACTAACTAACTGTTTTAGATAAATTATACAAATGATGAATTAACTTACTTCTTTCAAAAAATCAAAATTATTTTCCTTTGTGTTGTATCTAAAGTTACCATCTATCTGAAGTTGCAACTTTAGTTGATCTGACTAAAATTAAGCCCCTGAAATTAGATCTTCATACATATAATTCTGGTTAGATGCAACTTTATATATCTAAAGTTGCAACTTCAAATAAATAGTAACTTTAGATACGACATTTGTACTAGATAAAGTTTTGAGTGCAACAGTACTAGATGCTTCACATGATCTATTTTTATCACGATCAATTTTTTTTATGCCATCCAACCAAGTTGCAGAATATACAGAGCTAAATCTACCTTTACCAATTTCTTTAACATCAGACAATCTATCAAATGGAATCCATTCGATTGCATCTTCGTATTTCTCGGCTCTAAGTTGAAATTCTCTGATACAATTATCAACATCTTTGTTTCTACTTGTCCATCCATGTGCAGTGATGTCGGGATCACATATTAGACACCATGCTGGTTGAGTGTTATTTTCTTTACAAATTTCACATTTGCCAAAATCAGAATTCCTTTATGATAATATAATAATTATTATTATTTATTTTAAAATCTATTATGACTTTTAAAATTATACTCACTGACTAAATTAATGAATGAATGAATGAAATGATAATTAATTGTAAATAAGTATTTATTTATGTTTATGTTTTTAATTCCACTGATTAACCTTAACAAATCTTCTTTATACTCATATACTATTTGAAAGTAAATAATTATAAATAAGTATTTATTTATGTTTATATTTATGTTTATATTTTTAATTCTACCAATTAATATTAATAAATCTTCTTTATACTTACATGCTATTTGAAGAGTAAATAATTGTAAATAAATATTTAGTTTATCAATTAGTATTTATAATATTTATGTTTATGTCTTTAATTACACTTATTAAAGTTAATAAATCATCTTTTACTCACAAACTATTTGAATAATTAATTGTAAATAAGTATTTAATTTATCAATATGTATTTATTTATGTTCATGGTTTTAACTCCACTGATTAACATTATTAACGTTAATAAACCATCTTTATACTCACAGACTAATTAATGAATGAATAAAATAATAATTAATCGTAAATAAGTATGTATTTGGTTTATCAATAAGTATTTATTTATGTTAATGTTTTTAATTTCACTGATTAAAGTTAATAAATCATCTTTATACTCACGGGCTAAATTGACAATTAACACAAACAGATAAAATATTATAAACTTGAATTGCAGATTTCAATATGTATTAATAATTTCTTATTACTTACTCCCTGATAATTAAAATTGTATGAGTGATGTTTAAAATATATAAAAAAAATTAAGAATTAACTTACTTATTAATCCATTCATAATATTTATCCTTATTTTTTTTCACACCAATTCCATCATAGTAACAAATAGCAGTTTTAAAGATTCCATTAGAATTGCCCATTTCAGCTAATTTTAAGTAATGCTCAAATGCTTTGTGTTTATCTATTTTAACTCCTACCCCATGATACAGTAATAACAAAAGCCAACTTGAAATATTCCATTAGAATTATTCAGTTCTGCTGATTTTTGATAGTGTGCTAATGCCCAATACAAATCCTTTTCAATGCCAATTCCATGTTCATAACAATAACCAAGCATAAATATTCCCTTAGAATCTTTCTTATCTGCCAATTTTTGATAATCAATAAAACTCAAATGGTTTAATTTGCTAGTAATTTCTTCTGACATTTTTCTATATAAAAATGATACGAAAAAAATATGCTGAAAATAGTAGAAAGAAATATTTGTTTTTTTTTTAATTTAAATTGTGTCATCATGCTGAATGCAGAGTACGTAACAGTAATACTTTATTTTACAGTTGTACAACTAGTTATGCATGATTTTTTGGTTCATAATATAACGATAGTTGCAGTGAAGCTGAAACACCGATCACAAGACCTTATCTCTGCCAACTAGAGATGCGGGTTATACCTATACTGTATTATACTACTTGTATTATACAAGTATTATACAAGCATTATACACAGAGGTTTAGGTATAATACCAATAATAGAAATGGGTTAGCCAATTAAATTGCTTTATCTGCAATTCCGAAGTTTCCCTTAGAAAATTCCACAAAATTCCAAACAATTTATAATAGTAGTTATACTATGCTATACTATATTATACGGTATTATACCTGGTATTATACTACCATTTTCTATTATACTGGTATAATCGCATCCCTACTGCCAACGTTTGGATGATCTACAGGCACATGCCAAATCACGTGATTTTGCACATACCGAATATAGACGTACGTAATTAAATTTTGGTCAAATTTTCTCGACAACTAATTAACTGAATTCAATAAAAAATTTTTTATATCAATTCTACAATTTAGTAGAATTGATTTAAAAAAATTTCATCAAATTCTATCAAGTAGTTGTTGAGAAATTTTGATTCAAAGATTGAAAAAATTCTCGCCATCTTAAAAAAAAAATAGTTGCGCAAAATTTTCCTAAGCTTTGAACGAAAGTTCTCGACAACTACTTAATAGAATTCTATGAAAATTTTTTAAATAAATTCTGTTAAATAGTAGAATTTATTTTAAAAATATTTCATCAAATTTTATCAAGTAGTTGTCGAGAACATTTCATTCAAGTTTAGGAAAATTTTTGTCGCAGCTATTTTTTTAAGGTGCGGTGAAAACTTTTCCAAACTTTGAACGAAATTTTCTCAATAAATACTTGATGAAATTTGATGAATTTTTTTAAAATGAATTCTATTATCTCGTAGAAGTTATTTAAAAAAATTTCTATCGAATTCTATCAGATAGTTGTTGAGAAATTTTTATTCAAAGTTTAGAAATTTTTTGTGCAACTATTTTTTTTTAAGATGTGGGAATTTTTTCAATCTTTGAATCAACTTTTCTCAACAACTTCTTGATAGAATTTGATGAAAATTTTTTTAAATCAATTCTACTAATTTGTAGAATTAACTTAAAAAATTTTTTTATCGAATTCAGTTAGTTAGTTGTCGAGAAAATTTGACCAAAATTTAATTATAAATGTCTATATTCGGTACATGCAAAATCATATGATTTGGTATGTGTCCATAGATCATCTAGCCAACATTAAGGCAAAGATAAGATCATGCAAGACGCAGTATTTTCAGGACTTCTCCTAGCTAGTTTTTCGTGAGGTATCTAGCCCTCGAATTATCCATACTTATTAGATACGAAATCTGCGACCTCGGAATCAAGGTCCCCGAAAAAACTCAGGATTTCTTTTTTGACAAATGTCAAGGAAAGTACCATGTCGATTCACAGAAAAATGCCAAATACCCAACCGTTTTGGCTCGTTTTTAACCCAATCAAAGATTTGCCTGGTTTCCCAGAACCCCCGAAAGGAACGATTACCCAAGTTCGGTAAACTTGCCTTCTCTTAGATAAGATCGATGAACAAGAAAAGGAAATTTCATTGAAATTAATAAAAAAAAACCACCCAAAACGACGTATAAAATCAAATTCGGGTGCAAATGGTTGCTAGAAGTATGTACCTAGGGTTCACGTCTCAACAAGTTCACCCAAACAATATGGAGTTACCAGGAAAAGTAACCCGGCGAACCATCTTGACAACATAGCTCAGTTCATATCCTCAAAATCTTGACCCAGAATATGAACTTCTTTACGGCTAGTCATTAAACTCCTTTTTTGTACTACACTCAAATGATCGTGCGGATTTATATCGCTCTTGAAGGGCAACGGATTCTACCGCCGGTAGCGATACTCGAGCAATACGAGCGTAAACTACTGTTTCATACCACCCTGACAAACACCACTAGGCTAGATTTGTTAGTAGTTATCCAAAAATATTGGTATTCGATTTGTAATCATTTTATTTTTAAACTTCAAAATAAAAATGAATTAATAAGAATTTTAATTAAAAAAAATAAATAAAAAAATAAATATAAATTAATACTTTCCGTAATATCTTTTTATTGTTTATATATATATATATTTAATAAAAGTAGGAAAATTAAAAAGATCTTAAAATTTTCTTTTGAAAACCGAATTATTAACGATTAACAAAAAAAGATCATAAGGTAACGAAAACGAAGATTAAAGGGAAGACGTTAAAAGAACACTACGTCACCCAACGTCTAGCAATAGTGGCGCAGCTAGCACTGTGAACAAAAGAAAAATTATAAAAAAAAACACCAAATACACATGACAACACCAATGACGAAGCTTTGTTTTTTAAAAAAAAAATAGTACCATAAGTAACCATTATATTAACAGAGAGAAAGAATTTACTCCAATAAAAAAATAAAAAAAAACACTGAAAAGCGAATAACGACACGTAGACGATTCTAGACAAAAAGTAATAATTGAGTAAATGCAACCAAGAAAAAATATAATGATTAATTAAGAAAATTTTAAATATACAGGTAAAATAACAAATAAAATATAATACATATCTTTGGGATGGTCATCGCAAACTTTTTAATTGATGTGTTGGGTTTTCATTTCATCGAGGTTTCTTGATTACTCTCCTTAAGACAGAAAAAAAGGCTTGTTCGGTTAGTAGAAATAAAAAGCTATTCTAAAAACGTTAACCAAGTCTTTTCAATAAAACAGCTCTGAATCTCATAACATAATCACAAAGCTCTTAGGAAACGAACCAGATTCAGCAGA